CCTTTATCTTTTAAAAGTTTTCAATCTAATCCTTACATCTTAATTTTGTTAACAAAATAGACAGAAAAGGTATATATAATGTGCACATGTCATATTTATGATGAAAATAACCTTTAAAGATCTGTCGTAAATATGATATGTAAACATTACATACATATTTTTCGTCAGGTTTGTTAACAAAATGGAGACATAAAAGTTTAGATTGAAAATTTTTAGAAGATGAAGGGGGTACATTGTATTAATTTTTAGTTTGAGGAGGTAAGGTAAAAAACAATGATAATTGAGGGGTTAAAATGTAATTTGCTCAAAATATCTTCCAATTTAAGAAATTGATTGGACCTAGAGGAACTTGTTACCCATTTACAATTTTTTTAGCTTATGTTTCTTAACAATGATTTTGGGTTGGTTTGAGAAGTAGATTTTTTTAGTAATTTTTGGGTTAAAATATGAGATAACAAAATAAAATATTTGGAAATGATTTTTTAATTTTTTACGAAAAGAAGTGTAAAAAAATAGAAAGAATGAAAACAAATATTTGATTTTTTTTAGTTTTTAATTTTTTGCATTTTAATATTTTTTTGACTAATTTAATCAGTTCCCAAACATAAATTCAATTTTGAAATTTATGATTTTTTTGGGTATTTAAGTCAAATTCAATTTGAAATTTTTTTCCAAAGATTTAAGGGAACTTCTATTTTCACACGCCTAAATAACTAAGGGAACACACTTAATGAATTTTTAATTTAATGGCAATTATACCTTAAACCTTAATGATCATAATAGACATCCAACAACACTTATAATATTATATACAAAAATTCTCTATACACATCTTTTATAAACGAAAAAATCTCAATGTACACATTTTGAGTTAAAAAAATAAACCCTAGTTTTTTTTCCCCATTGTTGTCACTTTGCTTGCTACATACTCTATACTCCTTTATTACTTGCAAAACAATACTCTCAAAACATCTTTCATATTGCTTTAATATCTAGGTTTACAATCTATTATTTATATCGTTTTTTTTTTATCAATTCTACAATTTTTGATTGATTTTGATATGGACGAGTGTACGGGGGTGAAATATCCTTTGCCTTCCGTACTCCTTGAACTCAAGCTTCACGTAACGGCATCGGACCTGGAAAGAGAGAAACGGTGAGCTGCCCGACAGTGTGTTGCTGGATAGACCCTTCGACGATCAAATCAGATCACTTGAAGAAGAAGGAGAATACTGTTAGCGAGAGAGAGTGTGTGAGAGTTGTTCAGATAGCATCATACCTCTAACGTTCGTCCTCCTTCCTTTTTCTAGGCTGGCCATGCAGCCTCAAGATTATGCGCGCACTACCTCTGCTGTCCTTCCCAGGACAGGTGGCAGTGCTCGCCTCTCACCACCTTACGCGTGTAAAGGCTTAGTCCTCCCACCAGTACACGCAGAACTGTCCAACGGTATTGGCGCATGCTTGGAGCAGATTTCCTCTATCCCTCACGCCATTGGTCCAGGTGGCACACTCGACTAGAATACCACGACCGGCCTGTCACTTGTGGAGAGTTGCCATCACATGCACTCAACCTAGCTATGCACCGCCGGACTGTCCCTTGCGAAGGGGCCAAAGGGCGATACTCAAAGCCGAGCTGACATTGATCGGTTCATTAGGCTAACCGGTTGTGAGGTATGCCGGCCTCCACCCGTCCTACCTTTATTCTCGGTCACACGAAGCCCACTTATCTCGGCTGGTCGGTCAGAAGCGTGCCGGCCCTAACCGCGTCCACAGTCTAGCCCAAGTTGCTCTTAGCTTGGTCATCAGACACTGCTACGCGCTCGGTCGCGTTATAGGTCGGCCAGGCATTGGTTCGTGTCTGGCCGGTCTTCTGCTCGGTGGCGTGCGGTTCGTCATGATCAGCGTTATCGTAGCTCGGCCGTACTAACGCGCAAATCTCCCCTCTCACAGAGCTTGTTAGAAGAAGAAAAAACCAACTGTACTAACAAAAATGCTTTATGTGGTCTTTTTGCCTCCTCCCTTGGAGATGCTTCAACATATATAAAAGCTGGTTTCAGTTCTGCCTTAAACCAAGTGATTGGTCTTAAAACTCTCTACATTAAGATTAAGTCAAATTTTGAAGATTTAAGGAGGAGGACAAGTGGCAATGTAAGAAGGCGAAAGTTATATGAGTAGTTAGATGATGGTTAATATAAGTTTTTTCCTACATTTCTTCCTATAAATTGTCATTGATGGCTCTATTGTAAGGATCACCAGCAAATCAATACATGACTTGATTTTTTTTTTTTTTTTTTTTTTTTTTTTTTAGGGGGAGGTGTGTCATTTAGAGGCTCCCAAAGCACACATAACTTTCTATTTACATTCCTATCAATTCACACCAGTACAAGCACACAATTTTGATTTTTTTTTTAATCTCAATTCGCACCACTTAATTTCCATAATATTCCAATTGTCAACCTTATACTCTTAATACTAACCCTAACAATAACCAATTGCTGCCATAACTCTTATACTCTTAGTACTAACCCTAACCATAACCAATTGCTGCCATAACTCTAACCTATTGCTGACACCTTTCCTCCTATTACCCTTTCTTAGCTGTACCCATTTCTTTGTAGGAATGATCATTTTAATTCGATCCACAGATCTCGTCCATACCCCTTTAAATGGGACAGATTTTACTTGCCCCGACACTTATGTGGGGTAGGAGTGAATTATATTTTGGTCACCCACAACAAGGGTGGACGAGGGGGGGTATTGCTTCTCCCGCTCCAAACGCGATCCGACATAATTAATAATATATAAATAATATATGCATATATATATATATATAATAAAATTAGATATAAGAAAATAATATTAAAAGCCTATGGCTGTGTTTGATTTAACTTTCTAAAACTAATTCTACCCATACATTCTAATTCTGTGTTTGGTTTAAATTTTCAAATTATGATTCCAAACCAATTTTAAAACATATTTTGAAAACATGTATGGTAAACCAGATAATTTTTGAATTTTTGGTCTACTTGATCGTCTGCTTGGTTACCGGAACAGTACTTTTTTTATTTTTTTATTTTCAATTACCAATCGCCACCTGTTATTTGAAAAAAAAAATTATATTTGTTTTTGATCTTTTTTAAATATAGAAATTATTTTTTTAGACAAAAATGACAAATTATTTTTTTGAATTGAATTTTAAAAAGAGATTAGTTATGGACTTATGAGTTTTGAATATAATTTTAATAGAATTTTGAGTTGTATGTTTGATTATGAGTTATAAGTTTTTCAATTAAGTTTTGAAATCTCTTTTCAAAATTCACAATCAAATAATTTTTCTCATTTCATATGTCACATCAAAAATTTAAAACTCTTTTTAAAACTCATAACCAAACAAATTTTCTCTTTTCAATCATAATTTCAATACTCAAAAACTTAAAATACAACTCTATTCTCAAATCATAATTTTAAAACTTTACCAAACACTACTTATAATTTTGTTTAAATATAAATAAATAATAATCTTAAAAGTCTCACTATTTATATATATGAAAATAAAAAAATTTATTTAGGCTCGTTTGAGAACATGCTAATTTAGTAACTTTTTAGCTATTTTGCTAAAATATGAGTTAAAAAAAACTAGTATGTTTGGGATGATTTTTTGACTTTTTACGAAAAGATGTGCAAAAAGTAGAGAGAAAATAAAACTTTTGACTTTTTTGTATGAGTTATTGACTTTTTTAATTTTTTTAGTGACTTTTTGACTAAAAAAGTCACTTGCCAAATGAGATCTTGGTGTACTAAGAATTTAAATAGTTCTTAATTATTTTGACTATTTAAAATGTGGTCGGATATCCGTGGATATCGAGGCCAAGTTTGGGAAGACTAAATAAGTGCACTTTTTGTCTTTTTGGACTAAAAAATTGAGGTTGAAAATATGGATGTTTGGGTTAACTTTTTGACTTTTTATTGAAAAATGTATAATAAAAAATTGTAAAAATTGATTTGTAGGAAAAAATTTGAATTGGGAGTTGTGCAGCCGTAATTGTTGACTTTTGGTGAATAGTGTTAACTTTTTAACTTTTTGAGTAACTTTTTAACTTTTTAACTTTTTTGGAACATCCCAAACTTAGCCCGAGTATCTGCGGATGCACGGGTAAGGTTGGGATTAAAAAATTTCACCCATAATAGAGATGGGACGGAAGTAGGGTGAAGTTTGTTGACGAAAACAGGAATAAAGAATAACAAATCCGCCCCGTGACCGTCCCTATTTTCCACCCATATTGACTTTCTCTATCTTCCGCTCCCCATTTTGTTAACCTTCTTTATTTTTCCTTTTTCATAAATTTAGGAATTTAAGGTGGTGAGATGGTGACTAGGGTTTTATAGGTGACAAGAGGGTATCGGGGAGAGGGTTGCAAGAGTAAGGAAAGATTGGGTGAGGCTAATGTGAAGGTGGGGGTAGTGTGTTATTTACTTTAAATTGTAATTGTAATTGTAATTTTTGTTTGGGGAAATAAAATTATTTACAGTTATAATTAAATTAAAGTGTGGTTTGAGAAATAATTTTTTAGTATTTTTTAAACTTTTTTTATAAGGTGAAAAAAAGTTAGGATTGAGTTTTTCTCGTATTAACATTTCAACATAAGAGAACTTGAGAGGTTTATGAGATCCATCATGAATCTCATTTTAATGATTTGAATCATTTATTTGCAAGAATCTCAATTATTTCATCTATGAAAAAATTATGTCAATCCAATTATAAGGCCCCAACTTTTGAGACCATTAGAAAACTAAATAAACCTCAAAGATACAAATTTTCTCAAAAGAATAATTACACAAATGTTCTTAAAATATAATTTATATAATTGTCTCTAAAATTAACATATAGCGGTGGGTCTCAAAATCTCAACTCAAATAATTTTTTTGGTACTTCAACTCCAATTGCTATTAATTTGCTTCACACCTAAAAATAAATTAATTCAGGAAGTATATAATACGACAAGAATAATGATAGAGAATAAATTAACAAAAATCTAACAATTTATAACTTTGCACAACGGTTCAATATTACCAAGGAATTTATCAAAATTGCACTAACAAATCCACTTAACATATGATAATTTGCCTAGGACCAAATATCGGTCCTACTTAGTACATGATTAGACTGGTCTCATCCACTGCACCCAAGAACAACTGCTTAACCGGGCATATTGCTGCAAGCTTATTGGCACCCTTCGATCCATGTATAAAGCATTTTCATGTCATTTAGTCAGACAAATTAACACTGTTATAATATCTGCAAAGAATTTTATCAAATGACCAAAATAATCAAACGTATCAATACAGAATAATTTTACAGAATTTATCAAATAACCAGAGTGATCAAGAAGATTATAAATTGAAGGTAATTAAAAGTTAACTTTTTGCAAATAGATTTAAAATAAACATATTGTATATCACTCGAATTACCTCAAAATAATCTATTCCGTTACTAACACTTTAATCCTCTAAAATTGCTCCATAAATCTTCAAAGGTGGCGGATCTAAATTATAAGATAATAGAGAGTATGTAAGATTTGACAAGATCTAAAACTCTCTTCTTTAATAAAAATGATAACTCTTACTTTAAACACTCCCTAACTAAATTTAAAATTTATATCACAATGACAGAGATGAAACGGAGAAGGAGAGGATATGAGAGAGATGAAATCGAGGGATATGAAAAGAAGCAGAAGCTGGGGGAAGCGAAGAAGAATTAGGCTCAATTATACGAAGTAGGAAAGGTGAAAGAATATTAAAAAAAAATAAAAAGGGAATGGAAAAGGCGTAAAAAAGATAGGGAAAAGAAAGGAAATAAAAGAAATGGGGCATGGCATGGGTTTGTCTGGGAGAGGAAAAAAAAGAAAAAAAAAAAAAAAAGAAAAAGAAAAAGGGTTGGTAGCAGGTGGTCGGCCATGCTAGTTTGTTTGTTTCTTTTTATTTATTTATTTTTATTTTCACCGAAAGAAGGATGGGAAAGGATGGGAAATGGGAATAAATTTATTTTTAAGGGTAAATCATACTAGGGATTATTTGGAGTGGTTTAAATAAGTACATTTTTTATATTTTTAGATTATAAAATTAAGAAAAAAATATGGATGCTTGGATTATTCTTTTGACTTTTTATGAAAAAATTTGTATTTGTATAAATAAGTGTGTAAGAAAAGTTAGTGGAGTAGGCGTACGGGTTGGGCAGGGCAGTGGGTGATTAGGAGATGAAAAATGATTGCCTACTTTTCGGGCTTGAATTGAACGGTATTGTTCGGCCCGTGAGGGCCCACCACAGGTCCCGTTTTGCTAATCGGAACCGTTAATGTGTAGAACTTGTAGAGTATTATATGTTTGTAAAAAATCACGTTGATTGAATATCGATATCTATCTGATTGTATTAGTTTTTTGTCCATTGTTACCTATAATACCATCAATTTTTATACAAAACTGATTTGATCATGCAATTAGCGATATCCGATCAACGTGATTTTTTATAAGCATATAGTTCTGGAAGAGTTCTATATATTAAACGGTTCAGATTATCAAAACGGGATCCGTGGTAGGCCCCCACTTGCCCAACATTACCATCCAACTTAGTGATTTTATATATGTAATTTTTTTTCCCTATAACGGTACTAAAGTGGTCAAGTCAGTCCCAAAAACTGTGTAAAATTTTTTTGATTAAAATATTATGTATATTAATTTTTGCATATTTTTAATTTGTGAATAGTGATACATTTTTTGTTTTTTTTTGTAACTTTTTGATTTTTTGGAACACCCCAGACGAGGCCTAAATTTTTTTGAGGTTTTTGTTTAATATATATATTTTTTATATTTAAAAAATAATACTTACTCTCTAATTAAAATGACATATTTATCTTTAGTATATATACATATAAAGTAATGTAGATATTTTATTTGTATAATTTCAAGGGAAATAACAATTATCTTCTTTGATTTAATTAACACAAAATTTTTTTTTTTAGTTTTTTAACATATTTTTCGTATTTTTTTATTTTTACTGAATTTTTTTAATATTTGAAGCAATTTTTTTTTTTTTTTTTTTTTTTTTTTTTTTTTTTGGATACACCTAATCTATATATACTGTCATGACCCGCTCCCCATACCCAAGAGTTAAGTATCGTGATGGCCAGTAAGTGAGGTTACCTCCGGCCAATTCTTAAACAATTAATAAACGCAAGCGGAAGAAATATTTAAATGAGGATACCAAAATAATCACTAGAGCTTCTATTTTTATTACAAAATTGTATTGACCAAAAATGTCGATATTTACATAGAAAAATATCATAAAATTATTGTGTATGTCTATTCCGCAGCCCCGCATCTAACACTTTTCAAAAGTTATTTATGAATTGCACTGCTTCCTGAAAATTGGTAAACAACATTAAGCACATGGCAGAGTGAGAAATATTATACCAAGAATATAAGAGACACGAAATAACCATGGATAGTTAGTTAGACAAAAACATTTAAGATAGCTTAGTCGGAACAAATAATCCTTTAAGTAACAGAAACTGAGATTATGTAAATAAATAACTATAACCACGGTAATTTGGTAAACAGATCATTTAAGTATCTGAAACTGAAATACATAAATTATATAAGTAAATGACCATACCCACGGTACAGAACAGAGGTCACTGAAGTGACTGTCAGAACAGAGGAACGGATTCAAGAGGTGGCTCGTACGGATTCTAGAGGTGGCTCCCACGATAGTGTAGCACTTAGCTCCGTATACACGTTAGTCCGCACAGAACAGAGGTATGGATTCAGGAGGTGGCTCGTACGGATTCTAGAGGTGACTCCTACAATAGTGTAACACTTAGCTCGGCACAGAACATGGGTCAATTGATCAGAGGACCACAAAGTAATCAAACAAAGACCAATAGTTATTTAAGTCTCCCAAGGCGTGGGACTCCCGTGGTGGTATTTACAAAACATAATTGTTTATAAGGTCATAGTCAAATATCCTTTAAAATATAGACAAACATATCCATGAGTTTTCTTTTAAGCAAATAGGGTTAAGAAATAACACCACATAACTGAAACTTTTATAAAACATAATTTTTATTAATATACTAATAAAACATAACTTATGTAAAATAGATTTTGCCTCTGTTTGGCAAGATGGTTTTGAAGCTTTTTTGGCTATTTTAGTCACAAAAAACAAAATAGGCTATTTTAGCCATAACAAACAAAACATCACATCCAATCTATAATCATTACATTCTTCTCTCACAAAAAAAGTCAAAAAAGTTAAAAAGCCAAAAAGTCCTTCCCAAACCAAGCTTTTTAGCCCAGGCTAAAATAGCCAAAAAAGCCAAAAAGCCAAAAAACTAACCTACTTCCCAAACCAAGCCGATAAGTCAAAATATACGTAAAATATATTTTGATAACTCAAAGTATTATATAACTTACTTTAACTTTAATATCTCACCATTTTTTTCTACTTTTAAAGACCCTTGCAGCTTTCACCAATTTTTTCGTTCTTCCTTTCTTTTCTTCTTTCTTTCTTTCACGCAGGTTGATCATCTCCTCCCTATTTAGAGGAAGCCACAGCCGGTCAACACGTGGCAACTTCAAGATTCACCCGTTAACTCACTAAAGATTTAGACTTATCGTAATATATATTTAAGATAATTACGTTTTGACCCCATATTTTAATATAATTATATAAATAAATTAATTTCTAATTAAATCACACTTTATCATATACTAACAAAAAATTAATTATTTATTTTACTACCGTACCCATTATTATTATTATTATTACTATTATTATTATTTATATTTTGACCCCTAAACTTATATTAATTATATTATTTCAAAAAATTACACATAATAATATATAATAAATTATATATTTTCCGAACTGAGATTAAATAATATTAATATAAATTTTACAGAAAAATAAAAAATCTAGGTTGTTACATATACTAAAGAAGTATAATATTTTGTAATTTTTTTTTAAAATTCACCAAATACAAAAAAATATAAAAATTCAAAAATTCAATATATTATCGTATTTTCTTGTATTCAATGGATTTTTTTATATTTTTTTGTACAAATTTTATATTTTAAATATATCTAGATTAAATTGATATAATCTAGATATAATTATGGAAATAAAAATAAAAATTATACTTTAATCTAGATATAATTATGGAAATAAAAATAAAAATTATACTATTATATAAAAATTTATACAAAAAATATTATAAGAATATTGTTATAAATATAAATCATATTTATGGATATTTTGTTTTAAAGTAAAAGTCATCGTTAAACTATATCATTGTATTGGAAAAATTTATATAAAATTTATGTTTGTATATCATTACTCTATAAGAATATGTTCAAGTAGAATTTAATGATGGAAAGTTGTAAAATATTGTTATGAAGAAAAAAAAGAAGAAATGGTAGGAAAAATGACAAGATGGTTATTTAAAAAAATTTAGGGAATGACATCAGCAATCTGCGGGATAATTTGTAATGAGATTACAAATCTCAGGGAGGAAATGTAATTTTTCAAATGTAAGAGTTGGATCTGTATTAAGCCTGTGTTTGGCAAGTAGGTTTGCAGGCTTTTTTGGCTATTTTAGCCACAAAAAACAAAATAGGCCATTTTAGCCATAACAAACAAAACATCACATCTAACCCATAATCATTACATTCTTCTCTCACAAAAAAACTCAAAAAAGTCAAAAAGCTAAAAAGTCCTTCCCAAACCAAGCTTTTAAGCCCAGGCTAAAATAGCCAAAAAAACTAAAAAGCCAAAAAGCCAACCCACTTCCCAAACGGAGGCTATAAATCTCAGGGGATGTCAGTATAATTTACCATATTTTCAAAAAGAGATAAATAACAATGTGGTAAATATAAAAGAAATGAAATAAATACAAATAAATAAATTAGGTTTTTATCCAAAAATTTCACCACCTAACTACTGTCTGAAAACACTAATTCTACTCATTAAAATATTTAACACCTAAAAAATACAAGATTTCACACCAATAATCGTAATATTTTTATTTTATTATGCTTGTTTCTAAAAAATGAATGGCCAATTTTGAAAAGTGTATTTACTGTTTATTTTTTAAAAATAAATATAATAAAATAAAAATATTTATTGAATCAAATTATGTTTTTTTATAAATGATATACCTTGGGAGTTTTATAAATAAAAACTATTTTTTTCCATGAATCTATCATAAACTTATGATTTGATAGGATGGTTGTTCTTTTCCACGTATTTAGGGTATGTTTGACATAAAGGTTTGGGTTGGGTTATGTTATTTTAGTCAAAAAAAAAATAAAATAAATTTTTTATTTTAATAATATAAAATACTATCATACTCAAATCATAGTAATTTTATTTTTTTCTTATAAAAATTAAAAAATTCAAAAAATTTATTTTAAATGAAATTTTTTAACCCCGATTAAAATAGTTAAAAAATCAAAAAATAATCCCCATGACGGCTTAGATCTCTTCTCACGTATTTTTAATAATTTGAATGATTTTTTTTTTTTTATGACTTTTCGTATTTCGTATATATCATTTATAAAAAAAAAGGTTAAGTTGTTCTAAAAATGATAACATCCTTATTTTATCACGTTTGTATTGAAAAAAGAAATGAAACAAACATGATATAACAAATGTGTTAATTTAATTATTTTTATAAATAAAGGGTTATTTGGAATGAACTAAATAAGTATACTTTTTATTTTTTTTACAAAAAGATGTGTAAAAAAATAAAAAAATGATATGATAAAAAAAATAAAAAGATGAATTATTTTAAAGATGCCAAACTTAACTAAAAATAGAGTACTAATTTTTATTAAAAAAATCATCAATTCAAATTATGGAAACAGAGGTTCTGACAAACCCACGGGCTTAGACAGCGCTGGGTCCAAATCCAGAGAGAATAATCCATCCAATCGGATAAAAGGCTTACAAATGGCATGCTCGTAAATCGCTGGTTATTTTAAGGGCATATATACATATATACACGTCATGACGATTGACAACTGTTTACTTTCTGAAGACCCCCTATTTTCAAATCTGCACTCTCTCTTCTCTCTCTCTCTCTCTCTCTCTCTATCTCTCCTCTCCGGGGGTGCAGAGGAAGCGACCGCCGCCTTCAGGAGCGTCGCCACCGCTTCAGCGGCGGTTTTCTCTCTGAACTCACCGCCATCTTCTCAAGCTACTTCAACTTCACTTTCTTCTGAAACTTTCGTCAAGAATTAAAAACTGGTAAGCACCCATACATATTATTATTGTTATACGCAGTGTCTGTGAGTGTATAGTTGCTGCATTTTTTGTTTGCGAATGATTCGTTTCGGAGCCTTTCGCTTCTTCCCTCTAGGGTTTATATTGCCTCGAGTTTTGGGGGAAAGACTCTGGCTTTCACTACTATCCTCGAACCGTTTATAGTAAACTTCTTTTCCATTGCGCGCTGTCTCTCTCTCTCTCTCTCTCCTTGATTAGTTCAATGGTGGCGGTATCGTGACTCAACAGTTCTTATGCTTGTGCGTTTGCGTATTTCTACTTTTTTAGACTTCTGTTTCTACTACAGTTCTCCTTTTTTTTTTTTTTTAAAGATATATATTTTGACTCGGAAACAGTAGAGTAAGAGCGAGTTGTCTGTTCACACTATTTTCCCGTGTGTGTGTGTGTGTGTTTTTTTTTTTTTTTTGTTTCTTTTGGGAAATTGCATTTCAGTGCAACAATGAAAAAAATAATCTCATTTCAGTTGCACAAAAAAATGCAATTATTTTTCCACATCCCATTCAATTGCAATTTCTTTCTTTTTTGGGGGTTTTTTTTGGGTACATTGGAAGTTATATATGGGAAAAGGGCGATGAAACATTGACATATCAGTGGCCTAAGGGTTTGGCTAACCAAACTAACCTAGTTGGTTTAATATTTTTTGGCTTTACAAACCTTTGTAACCTCTGCCTACCAGTTGCAATGTAATTTCCTTTTCTTTTTTTTGTTTAAAAATTGATTACAGTAATCAAGAATAGGTATAAACGATCTATGCTTGTGTTATAAATTAAGTTGCAAAGTGTAGTAGGTTAAAATTAAATATGGTGTACTTGAGTACTAATTTATTTATTTTTAATTTATTTAGTTAGTAGTGTTGAAAGATGAAATCTACACTAATTGCTTGAGTACTATTGTACTCAATGTTATGAGAATTGGACCGGATGGGCCAGGTCAACTGGTCCAAGTTTTGGTTCGGACCAACAAATAAACCCGTTCTGCACTAGAAATCGGCTTCTTTTTAGAGAACCAGCAAATTTCGTAGTTGAACCATCTGCCTGTTCGAATTGGTAGCCAGTTCAACAAATCAGCTGGCCTTGGATTCCAAGGCACGTGTCTGCCAATGCAAGGCCAATTTTACAAAAATTGGTATCTATAGAGGCTCGAACATCAGACGTCTTGAATAGTATGAGCTCTGAGCATTAATTTCACCCAACTACACCAACGAAGCTCCTTGCTAATATATGGTAAAACAATATTATTTATTGGATTGATTGCATATTTCTTTCAAACACTAAGTAACTACAATATAAATATATAATCAATATAAATATATTTGTATGAATAATTATATTCAATAAACATATTTAGATAAATATATATGTATCTTGAAGGTACAAAAAGAATTAAATGTATCTCAATACTTATATTTATTGAAAACAACGCCCAAATAATCAATATAATCAATAAATATATAATCAATATAAACATATTTAGATAAATATATATGTATCTTGAAGGTACAAAAAGAATTAAATGTATCTCAATACTTATATTTATTAAAAATAACGCCCAAATAGTACACATTAATGTGTGTTTGGAAAGGAAAAAATTGGGTAAACACTTAATCTTTGGCATAATACTCAATACTTATATTTATTATTTAAATATAATGTTTAATGTATTTATGAAGTAATTATGATATCATGGTCTATTTCAGTTGACTCGACGGTTGACCCTTGACCCTGTCCCATTTTCGGTTTGGCCACTAGTCCATGTTTCAGAACATTGATTGTACTAATTCCCTCAAGAATTCATGAACAAATGTTTGAATTAAATTGCTATGTATTATAATTTAATGTAGGCTTTGGAGAAAGTAAAATTAAATGAAAATGTTCCTAAAATAATAATAATAAATGGAAATAATTGTGTTTAAAAATAAATAGCCTGGGATGCATAAAAAATTGAGATTAAGTAGCTTATTTAAGGTTTGTGAAGAAGATGGTAAAAGTGATAGAATGTGGGCATTTTGAAGCATTTCAAAATTGAGAGGATAAATATTATCAAACTAAGAGGGCAAAGTGAGTTTTTTCCTAAGTGTTGCCAAACGGGGTCTTAGCATTGACACTGAATGGAAAACCTTCATATAAAAATTCTTGCATTAAATTTCATAAAATTCTTAGAAAAATGAAACATCTCAAAGTGCTTGTTGGAGTGGTTAGATATGTAGATAGTAGATAGAATTTTCTTTAATTTTTTTTTTGTTTTGTTCTCTACGTGTAATCTGTACTAGAAGTTCCCCAAATGTGTATGAGCCCCCATTTGACACCAATTCGTAAAGTATGTCTTTTAGCCACTGTTAAATACCCCATATCATACGTAAAATCATTAAAAAATATTGGACATTCCTGTGCCTAATATAAAATTATGCATGACACATGGTATAGGACACCCAATAAGTGAGTATGTTAACGCTACGATTAATTATAAATACATAAGCTAGCCTTTTTCATTATGGTCTTTTAGATTATTCGCTTAAAAAGTTGTAAAATTGTTTATTCCTGCTTTTTTGTTTTTTCAGTAATAGCACAATTATAAAATCTTCATGAAGAGAGTCTCGCATTTTGAAAGAATAAACCTCATGTAGTCGTGTTTGTCTTCTTCTTTTTTTGTTTCCTGTCTTCTTATTCTTTTTCTTGACTCTTTTTTCACTTCAGTTATGTGATTGGACAATTTAGTGAGATTTTGCTTGTGGCCAGAACTCAGTAGTATATCATTGTTTCACATGGACGTGTGTGGTTCTTTGACATCTTTGTGGGAATTTTGCTGAATTGTAATCATGTTAGATGCCAAATTTTTGAAGAAATTTTTTCTTACCTTTTCTTGATAATTCACTTGACATGTGACTATTGCAATCTTAGAAAGGATTGAGTTGCTATTTTTGACTGATGGGGTGTTAATTCAAAGTCAATGTGTAGGCACTTCATGGTCACTGAAAAGATTAGAGTTTACATATTATTGATTCAAAGTAATTTGCATTTTATTGATTCAAAGTAGTTAAATGGATTTTAAGTTTCTTCTCATACGTATGGATGGATGTCTATGATGCTATCACATATTATCTACGGATATGTCTGAAGTTTGGCACCCATATGCTGTTGTGTGGCATATCGTATTGGTTCATCATTAGTTTATTGTGTTGTTGTTCTATTGTGATGCATAACTATATAGATGCTGTGGAAACTGGAAAGTGATGCTTTATGAGATGGATCGCAATGCCGCAGACTTGATCGTGTGAACCGTAGGGTGGTATGACTGCATTCTATAACTGTATTTTAGCAATCCGGACTTCAGCTTATTTTGGCAATAGGCGAAAAGTGACTATAAAAAAAGTCAACTCTTCTCTCTATTTTTTTGCATGTCTTTCCATAGAAAGCTAAAAAGCCTACTAAAATAGCCATTTCCCTCCCTTCTTTTTGTCTCTTCCTTACCTTTTTGTTGTTAGCCAATGTAAGAAGTATTGAATTGAAAAAAAGTTGGGTGGAAGGTTCAAAGGTGAAATGGTGCTAACACATTAATATACCAACCCAAAGGGGAAATAAGACATAAATGGTTAATTCTTATTAATTTACAAAATTTGGAACCAAACAGAAAAGGAAGATGATTTGTATATATTTAATAATTCAATGCTAAGAAAATTGTTGTTGCATTTAATTCTACTTTCGTGTTAAAGCAATTTGTGTAAGCTACGGGGGTCTACTTTTTGCACTCCATGTTTGTGAGGTAAATGGTGCACTGAATGCCATTTCATGTGGCAGAGTTGGTCATATTTCAGGGAACTCTGGTTGCAGAAAGTCAACACAACACTTTTACATCTAAGACATGCACTACAGGGTTAAAGAGCAACTTGATGATGTAGCTTAATATGTAGCTTTTGTAAGCACGTATGAAGAAAACTTATTTCCTCAATGACATTTTTTTATGCGCACTGAACTGTGCGAACTTTGACTATTGGGTTTAAACAGAAAAAATAAAAAACTTTCAAGGTTTTCAACTCAAAAGTTTGGAACAACAAGGTATTGGAAAAATATAAGGAAAAAGATAAAAAGGTAGAGGGCTTTTCAACTTCCTGACGAAAATCTTGATAAATGGCTATATCCTTGGTGAAATTCTGTGCTTCTGAGTTACAACTTTAGGCTTCAGAGTGGTACTTATCTTCTTGCTAGTTGCCGCCTCTGGCTAAGATGACTGCTTCCGTGGTTCTTCCATTTATAGTTTTTACCAACGTAGTTGGCTGACCTCTTCATTCGTTTTTGTTTTTGCATCAAATTTATTTATTTTTATTTTTTCAGTATTCTTATGTTTGGTATATCGTTCATTTTTGCAGGTCTAAGAATGGTAGAGGCTATTTCAAAATGCGAGCAACCAAATGAAGGTGGGCTGTTCTTTTGGTTCTTCAACTCCATTTTCTGGGCGATGGTTTAACTTTTAACTGCTAACCCAACTATGCTGTTTCAATATATGCTATAAGGACATAGTCACTAGTCAGACAAATAAGGTTGTTGACATCTAGCATGCTATAGGTTGTCCAATTTGATGACATCCCAAAAATTGAAATTTCCGATAAATGTTGATCTCTATGGCATATGATACAAATTAAATGGTAAAACTGGAGTGCTACAGTTGCCCAGGTTTGATATCCATTTTATTTTGAATCTTCCTTATCACGTGCAGGCAATTTTGCAACTGGTTTTGAATGTTATATTCTGCTGAAGAAAGATGGTAAAACCATTTGTCGGACACGATGCCTTAATCCACTTATTCAAATGTACGAGTACCGTCCTTTACATTTTGTATGCTAATTGTTGGCTGTTTTTAGGACTTTCTTTTTCAAACTTTATTCTATTTATTTAATTAAGGTTTTTCACTTTTTGTTTCTTACATCCAATACTGAATTTACCATTTTTAGGTTGGTTCTTTGCGTGTTAGGTTGATCTTTGACTTGTATTTTGGTGCACTTCTGTAGAGATTGCAAGAGTCTGCCTCTCATTTTATGCAATACAGTATCAGTATCCATGCAGGGTACTAGTCCCATTTTTCTTTTAGAATTGTGTATGCTAATTCTTACGCAGCTACATCTTCTAGTTGGCCAGAGCCCCGGAAGTTGTGATGAAATTTGAAGTTACACACGTCCATGGCTATTCATGTTTTTGAGTGACAGTTACAACTTCTGTGTGATTAGGTTTGGGTATCAGATTGAATTATTTGTTCTCATTGCTGGCCATGGAGCACTCCCTGTGATTAGTGTACTGGGCATGAGTCCTATGTTCTTATGCATCTCTTTATAGTACCAGCTTATCTCCTACATCTAGTTATCTTGTTTTTGTAGGAACATTTTTATTTTTTTTACGAAGTGATATGGCCTAGTGCTTTACATGTTATTTTTTTAACAAATTTGAGGCTTACACATTGCGTCTTTAGAAGATTGGTATAATTTAGCTTAACCTATAATGAGGTTCAGCCATGTATATATGTAGACAGATTACAATGAAGGAAATAAATCTAATTACATTGAATAAGGCATAGAATCCGTGATTGCCTAATCACAGGATATTATTCTAGATATTCTTAAAGTAGCTATTCCAACATTTTTTTACCTCTTTCCTTATGTGGATTCTTGTTTTCACACTTCTGGAAATAGGTTGTCCCTTGTATTTTTATGGTTGGTCCATTAAGATCTTTTACATTCTTGATCATGAAATTCTACTCACACTAACTGTGAAACATTTAGCAGGCCTCCTGTTTGGACCATATCTGATATAGTTCGACAAAAGCCAGATGGTATTGTTTCTGGATTACCTCAATGTATCCTACTCCCTGCTTTTGAAAATTCTCAACAGCAAAATGAGTGGGGACTGTTTTTGGGTTTTCTCCGGAAGTACAAAAGGGTAAAGCTCTGTACATGGTATCTGATATTCATTTTGTTTATGTTTAGAGGTATACTAAGGCCCATCCAAATAGCTTAATGGACATTTCCAGTGCTTGCTGCTAATTTGAATTGAACTGCCTTAAAGAAATTTATGTTGCTCACCTGACACTGTGACACGCACTGAAAGAAACATGTGAATGTAGGAAATTTTTATAAATTTCATCAGATAACAATAGTAGTTTCTTTAAAAATTGCTGCACTTCTGGAAATCTGGTCATGGCAGTATTTTGGTTATCTGGCTTCTAAAAATAATTAATGTGCTCCACAGTTGTATTGATACATTACATATATGTTGTTTGGGAATATTTTTTCTTTTGAACCTTTTTCGTAAAATGTTTGGTTCATCTTGATTATTAAAGGTGTTTGTAGTTTGGAAGAAATAACTTGCTAAGGTGTTTTCCATTTGTAAGCAAATAATTTCTAGTTGCCTGTTAACAAATCATCTTCCTTTTTTTTTATTTTTGATAAGTAATGAACCAAATATTATTAAAAAAGCATCAAGATGATGCAATGAATACAGAGAGCCGAAAAGAGAAAACCAGCCCCTACCCAATCACATCCTCTAAAAGAGCTAAAAAAGCAAACATATCTGGATCAACGTTATGTTCAAACCAGCTATACAAAACCATAAGTAAACGGCTCTGGAGCCAAAACATAGAATGAGACACATCTTCAAAAGTCCGTCTATTCCGTTCCAACCACATCAAGCACGAAGGCGCCAAAGCCCAAACATGCTGCCTTCGACAACCAACCCGAGCCCCACGCTAACTCCACATCATGTCCCTCACCCCTTGAGGTTGGACCCAAACAAATCCCAAAAAGAGAACATAAAGAACCCCACAAACGACAAGCCACACAACAGTGCAAGAACAAATGATCCACAGTTTCTGCATCTTCACAGCACGTACAACACCTATTGACCAAAATATGCCCACGTCACATCAAATTATCTAGAGTGAGATTACGACCCAAAGTTGTTGTCCACATAAAGAAAGCCACCTTAGACAGAACCCTCGGCACCCAAATACTCTTCCACAGAAAACCCTTCCCCACTACCCCCATCAAACTCCAATAGAATGATGAAACAGAAAAACGGCCTTTAGCCCCCCTCAACCTTCCACACTAACTCATCCTCCCCCACTCTAGCCACCCCCAAAGCATACAAGTAACTCCATTACTCTACCAGGTGAGTGACCTCCCAATCTTGAACTTGCCATTGAAGCCTAATATCCCAAACCACCATAGACCCAATACCCAAATAAGATGCCACCAAGGCCTCCTAATCCACCGCAATACTGAAGATCAAAGGGAAATGATCTTTCAACAAAAGATCTCCACATCACCGAGCCTTCCAGAACCTAACCCTCAACCCATCCCTAACCTGGAACCCCACTCTAGCCCAAAACTCCTCTCTTCCCAACCAAATTTCTTTCCATAACCCACAACCATGAGCACCCATCACCCTCCCAGTCCCCCAATGGCCCCTACCCAACCCATATTTTACCGCCACCACCATACGCCATACCCGTTCCGGCTACCAAGCAAACCGCCACAACATTTACCCAACAAAGCCCTATTGAAAGTCACCAACCCCCGCACCCCTAACCCCCTTGCCACCTTGGATTGACAAACCCTCCCCTAATCCACCAAATGATGCCTAAAAACATCCCCTCCACTAGCCCACAAGAACTCCCTTTGAAGCTTCTCAATCCGCCGTGCCATAGGCACCGGAATAATATGCAGAGACATAAAATGTCAAAATATTGCTCAGCACATGCTTTAACAAAGTCAATCTACTCCCTTTCGAAAGATATTGCCTCTTCCACCCTGCTAACCGACGCTGAATGCGTTCCACGACCCTTTCCCACCCTGTAGTTGCCTTAAACGGCGCGCCCAATGGCAAACCTAAATAAGTCCCTGGCAAAGTCGAAACCTTGCACTGCACCCTAACATTGCCGCTAGCACCGGCAACCTCTCCACCACCCCTACTGGAGTCAACTCGGACTTCCGCAAATTCACCCGGGGACTCGAACAAGCCTCAAAACACAACAGAACAGATCTCAAATAACCCACTTGCTCCACCATTGCCCCACAAAAAATGAGGACATCATCTGTATACAACAAATGAGAAACACAAAAAGGAGCGTCCAGGAAGATCCTGCCACAAAACCCTCCAACAAACTTGATTGAACATCTTTGTCCAATAATCTGCTCAACGCCTCCATTACCAAAATGAACAATAGGGGTGATAAAGGATCTCCCTGATAGAGACCACGGTGCGTCGAAAAGAAACCTACTGGAGTACCATTAACCATAACTGACATCCGCACCGTGGAAATACAAAATTGAATCCACTTACGCCACATATCACCAAAACCCATACGCTCTAAAACATATGATAAGAACTCCCACCGAACATTATCATAGGCCTTCTCTATATCCAATTTACAAATCAAACCTGGTTGGCCCTGTCTGATCCTGAAATCCACACACTCATTAGCTACCAAAACTGCATCCAAAATTTGCCGACCTCCCACAATTGCATTTTGAGACTCGGACACCACCACTAGCAAGACCCCGTGGAGCCTATTTGCCAACACCTTAGCCAGCAATTTATACACACTCCCAAGCAAACTAATAGGCCGAAAGTCCCGAATATCCTCAGCTCCCTCTTTCTTTGGAATCAACACCAAAAAAGTTGCATTTAAACTACGTTCAAATTGCCCTCCTTCGTAGAAGGCGGACAATGCCGCCATCACATCCTCCTTAACCACACTCCAACAATACCGAAAGAATGCCATAGTGAAGCCATTTGGTCCTGGAGTCTTATCCCCACGCATAACACGCAACGCACCAAATACCTTCTCCGTAAAAGCGCGCTCCAAAACCATCCTATTCGCATCCGAAATCATATCAAAATGAATCCCTGCCAACCCTGGACGCCATTCCGCTTCTTGCGGCCGAAACAAATTTTGATAGAAACCCATAATCCCCGCTTTAATATATGTTTCAGTATGCAACTCTCGGCCATCCACCTGCAGCCGACTAATATGATACACCCGACGGTGAGCATTAGCCATCATATGAAAGAACTTGGTGTTCCTATCCCCCTTTTTTAGCCATAAACACCTAGATTTTTGTCTAAAACTCACTTCCTCCAACCGCGAGAGACGAACATACTCAAGCCGAGCCGCCTCCTTACTAGCAGCCTCAGTTGACACCAAGGTTTTAAAAAGCGGCCGCAACCGTTACGTAACGGTTTTGGCAGTTACTGCCACCCGTTACTGCCGCTTTTGCAGTGTGATTGAGATTCACAGGTGTGTTGGCCGTAGCGGGTGCCGTAATAGCCGTAACGGCCTGTTACGCACCGTTACGTAACGGTTCCAAACTGTTTCTTTCGAAAAAAACACACAAAAAAAGGCTGAAAATGGAAGAAGAGGGATAGAGAGAAGAGGGAAGATAAAGAGAGAAAATGGAGGAGCAAGAGATAGAAGAGGGAAGATGAAAAACATGTTATTGATTTGTTGAAGCTGTAAGACCTATGCTATTCTATTTAGTTACTATTACTAAACCATTTTGTTTGTGTGTGTCTATCTATATATTGTTTGAAAATAATAATAATAATAAGTATGGTCATTATCTATTTGGCTTGGTTAAAATATGTATATATATATATATATATATTTAGGCTCTTATTTATTGTCTTTCTTTTGTCATTGTTTATCTTATATATAATAGTTAGTGATTGATTTTTGTATAATATAGTCATCAATTATTAAAATAAAATGTAAAAAACTCAGTTTATAGTGATTTAAAAATATGAAATATATTGGATCATACTTAAAAATTTATAAAAATTGATTAATATTTATTTTTAACCCAATAAATATGATCATGGAAAAAAAATATGCGTATTGATAAGTTTTTTTTCAAATTGTGCGAAAAATAAAAAAAATTCACGGTTCTGGTTACCGCAACTGTTACACTACAGCCTTTACACCCGCAACCGCAACCGCGTCACCGCCACCGTTACGGCGACTGCAACCGCTTTTCAGAACCTTGGTTGACATTAAACCCCCTTGAACCTCTGACTCATATAAGGAGCGAAGCAAGGATACCATGGCCGCTTGCTGGCCCTCCAATCGACCAAAGACCTCCTTATTCCAACGTTTCAAATCCTGTTTTAGCAATTTCAATTTCTGTGCCAACTTGCAACTAGGCGTGCCTATTACGGATAATCTAACCAGAAGCTGCGAACAATCTCCACAACCATCCGACTGCAACCACATATTCTTAAAGCGAAACGGTGTTGGGCCACTATGAACCCCCCCAGTGTTGAGTAAGATAGGCAAATGATCTGAAATTGGACGCGGTAATCGAATCTGCATGGCATCAGAAAAATGCGCCTCCCAATCACCAGAGATCAGAAAATGGTCAATTCGAGACAAACTCCGCCCATTTGACCAAGTAAAGTTCCCCTGTTGAAGCGGCAAATCAATCAACTGTAGCTCATCAATGAAAGAACAAAAAGTGCGTATAGAACTCAAATCCCGAGTACTCCCTACCTTCTTTGTTTGCCACCGCACTATATTGAAATCCCCTCCTCCACACACCAAGGCTCTGACCAACGAAAAGTCACATTCTCTAATTCAGATAAGAACTCAGCCCGATCACCAACCGACACCAACCCATACACCCCTGTGAACACCCATCGAAACTGGTCCTCCACGCACCTAAACAAGCAAGATATAGAAAAACCACCCAACTCGTCACCTTGGTGTCCCAACAGAGAAGAACACCACCCGCTGCGCCTGAAGCTGGCAAATGCAGCCATTCCACAAACCTTCCCCCCCCCCCAAAAAAAAAATCTCACGCACCAAATCCTCCCCTAACATCTCCATTTTGGTCTCTTGCAAGCACACCACATCAGCATTCACACTTCGCAAAGTTGCCTTCACTGTTACCCATTTATCCCTATCATTCAGACCTCGCACATTCCAGGATAAAATTTTTGACTTCATTGCAACAAAAGTGGTTCTCCACGAGATCACCTTGACTCCCGAGCTACTATCAAACCGCCATGGTCATAATTAATAGAACATTGTAAATTCTTCAGCTCCCTTTTCCCTTTGCCGCAAGTACCCAGCAGACTAGCCAGCTGTTTACTAGGCGCCCCTTTTCGCCATGACTCTTCCACTACTGAAAACAACCGGAGAGCTTCCTCCTCACGCCCCTTGAACGACAGACCTAACAAGCAACTGACATCGCCTATGTGCTCCAACACCCATTCGAAGACCTTTGCAGCCAAAGGGATACCATCCCTGCCCAAATTAGTCCCACCCTCCTACCCACCATCATCCATAGCAACAGATTGTAACGCCACAGGCCAATGAGACAGCCCCTCATCAAACTAAATTTCACTCTCCGCTGCCCACGACAACTTACCACACTGTTCTGGCCCAGATTGCACCTAACCATCGTTAAAGGTAGATGACTCAGATGAAGATCGCCGACCAACCACCTCTGACACATAACTAGAATCACGCATCTCGTCATTCAGTTTTCATCACACCACGACTTGTAGACCCGATGCAGATGCCGGTTGCAGGAACCCATCACCGTTTGGTGCAAGCGACCTATCCACCAACCTCGTCAACAACCCCTGCTCCGTCGTCGCAGTGCCTCCGTCCACCGTCCCCTCCATTGGCAAAAGTGGCCCCACACTAGTCCGCAACAACTCTAGGACCCGACTCACGAGCGGATCCACCAACTGAACTACGGGTTTGAGCCCAACTCCATGCGAATGGCCCAGCACAGAATTTTCCTTAGGCCCCACTAGATTCGAACCCAACGAACCCTCCACAGGCCTAACACTTGCTACCTCTTGGGCTTTTTTAACTAATTGGCCCATTGCGCCCAAAACCATAGGCCGGTTGCCCTGGAGCCTCCACCCATTGACAACCCACTTCCCCTTAAAAGGCAAGGGACACATATCACGCCCTAGATTGCCCCCAAATCGCTGAATTTTAGGGCGATCCCTCACTCTACGCCCAATCTGCCGATCTTGCCACACCAAATCCGGACCAGCCATTCCGAGTCGTCGCCGACCCCACCAAGCTGCCGTCAGTAAACCAGACTCCACCGATGGCCCTGTCTCCAACCAGATGGGTAGAACATAACGCCAGGAAGCCCATCAGAGTGAAATCTATGACGGAATCCCTTCTGCCAAGCCTCGAACCTTCATTCGAACACAACCCAACAAATCCATTGTCTCATCCACCTCCAGGAAGCCACCACACCGGTCTCCAATGGCACGACTAAAATCATCTTCTTTATCTTTGTATCACGTCTTTTTTAACTTCACGCTCATCTTAAATGGTATACTTGTTGTGACACAAGGGAAGACTAGTTTTTATTCTACCTATTATAAATATGTAAGAGTTCATTAGTCAAAATACTGACACCATGCTTTTCAAGGTTGCTATCACAAAAATTGGAGCTTATGAGTTCTACATTTCTCCTCCAAATGAAGGTTCAAATTTTAGCCATGCTGTAGTTTCACGTCGAATGGGGAAATTGCATAATATGTGTGATGGTCAAAAGCATGGTATTTCAGGTAAGTTTGTTGTTGTTGTTGCCCCTCTTGCCAGAAGGGGTTATTTTTTGTGGGGGGAGGGCAGTAATTTTTTGGGTGATGGATCTGCTGTGTTTCATGCACTCTTGTCTTACGTGAATCATAATTGTGGGTTTTTGAAACATAAATGCCATTTTCATGGAACATCTAGCTGCTGTAACTGATTAAAAAAAATGTTTTTAGAGACCACTGAAGATCCCTATGATCGTGAATCGAGGGATGGAACTTGTAGCAGAGCTGAAACTAGTGTTCCTAGGCAAAATGATCCTTTGGAGAAAAATTTTGTGCAAGCACACCCAAGTTATTTGAAAACCCTTGGTCAAGCACATTCTGGTTGGATTTTTGGTGCAATTGCTGAGCTTGTTGACAATTCAAGAGATGCCAAAGCGACCAAGTGGGTTCATCTGCTTTTCTCAACTTTTTAAGTTTTCTTTGTTTTTAGAACAAGTGCAGAATCTTTTTTGATCATCATCACTTTCTTTCCTTCTTTATGGTTCTGATCAAACCCTCAATTTATCAATGCTGATTTTATTTCTGCAGTTGTCTTTGACTGCTTGTTTTTCTTATTGGATACGATAAATCATTGTGGTATGTTCAACAGATTTGAAGTTTCTATTGGCATGGTGTATTCAAAAATTGCTGGCAAAGGTATTCCTATGCTGTCAGTCATAGATGATGGCCATGGGATGACTCATCAACAGATTTTGAGAATGATATCTTTTGGGCATGAGCAACCTGATGCAGATGATCCTGATCATATTGGGAGATTTGGCATTGGATTTAAGGTATTTTTTTGTTATAAAATAACTTGGTTTCTTGGGGTAGCCGTGCTTTGTTCTGCTTTTTGTGCATGAACCTTTCCTGTTGGTTTGGCATTGTCATCTTCGGTTGGTTTTCCGAGTGTGTGATTTTCTTTGGTGCATTATGGTACCAAAGGGAGGGGAAAGGAGTATTATACAGTTTTGCTTCTATATTCTAGCAACTCAGCAGCTGTTGTGCCGTACTTTTCGCTTTTTTATTTCATTGAATTGCATTTATGGAATATATGAGTCATGGTTTGAATGGGCTGGATGATGTCTTTCTTTACTAGTTATTATGGTCATGTTCATGTTTCAAGCATTTTTTCATGCTGTAATAACACTTAGAAAAGTGTTATCTCTGTTACTTGTTTTGCAATTAAGTGCTTTTGCAGGTTTAATTTACTTTAACATTATTGATGGACACATTGAGTTAAACATGTCTTTGGTATCCTGTTTACAGAAATGTGGGAAATTATAACTTTCTAAAAAAATGAAGGTGACATAGTTTTTACTTGGTGACAGAATGTGGGTACTTGTATCAAGCTCAATACGTGGCAAGCCCTACAGGTGCCACATCACCAAAACCACACTTGCGTGGCAGACCAATAAGGCACCACGTCTGGTATGTCGTATGTTTGATACATGGTGAGCCCTATGGGCGCCATGTGCCAAAGCAACCAAAACTATATGCTTAGCCTAAGCGGGAACATATATACAAGCCCAAATATATCTAGATATGAAGAGCCCTGCAACAGGCAGCACCATGGCCCTGCAGGGCCCATGGTCCTTCATACCTCGTTCCAAGGCCAAACAACAATACAATCAGCCCCCGGCTCACTTAGACTTGGATTGATAAACAATGGCTCTCCTAAACATTGAGATAGGCCTGCGGCCCATTCTCCTACTTGATCGCTTAGATGTGAGCCCCTCTTTTAAACATTGAGATAAGCCCGCGGCCCATTCTCCTACTTGGTCACTTGGAAGTGAGCCTTGGCTCTCTTAAACACTAAGGTGAGCCCTGGCCCATTTATCTACTTGGATGCCTGGGTTGGGAGCAGGACCCAGGCACTACTGCTTGGGATCATCAGAGGATACTGGACTGGCGGCTGAGGTCATGGGATCGTTGAGATGGTTGTCTTCTTGCTAAGACAACTCCATCTCGACCAGGCTTGGAGAAGAGACAACAATGTCCTTACGTTCATGTCATCCGATGCATATACGAAACGTTACTTTCTGCCTGCCATGAAACGTTGCTCTCCGCCTGCCGGCAAGTCACAGACGGCAGAAGGGCTTACATCACTTCTGGCAGAGTTGAGGAGAACGAGCCACCTGTCCAACAGTTCGCTTGGACTCCAATACTCCTGTGGCCTATATAACGTATTGTATATGCAGCAAGACACAACAACAACAATACAACCAAGTCTCATGCTTAAACACCCTTTTTCATTTTGCATTAGTGTTCAAGGTCTATCACTGCCAACCTCTCCCTCTCCAAGCTTGCCTTGATCTCCTCCTCTCCACCTCTGGTGATCTCAGGCTATTAAAGTGCCCGCCATCTTCCTGGACTACCTCTAACCACACAAATCACCCACATTATACTCTGCTGGGGAAGAGTGGTGCTCGCTTCACATGGCACCGAAAAAGAACACTGGAACTGGAGTAGCGACATCCCAAGGTGGCAGTAGGGAGACCCTGGCGGAGACCTCGGAACACAACTTCGGCGGCTCCCCAGAAGAACAATCCTCCCAACTGGTCATAGCAGACCAACTACGTGCGTTGACTGAGAGCGTCACCTCTCTTCAACAAAACCAACAACTCTTAATGGATGCCCTACTAGCCTTACAAAGGGCATCTACACCTCCATCATCGTCTAACCCTCTTTCAACATCACAAAATGGTGCTCCGCCATTAGCCCAGAATGGCTCGGAAGCCAACCTCGCTACGCAAAACAACTTGCGAACCCAGGCGGGAGGACAAACAGTCGCCCCGCTCCCTCCGACAGCTCCCAGCCAAATACCCCCACCGCAAGTTGGATCCATCAGCGAAGCTCCCACCGTAGTGACATCGACTAGCTCTCTTGCTCTCCCGGTGGATCAGAACCCTTCTCAGCCATTAACATTGGAAGTAGTAAAAGAGCGCATACATAGTCTACTTCAGACAAACAAAGGTCATATCGCTGCCTCCCCAGAATTGGACCTTCGTCCCCCTTACCCTATTCACATCGCAAGTCTTCCATATTTGGCGGGATATACAGTACCCAAGTTTGTTCGCTTCGACGAACGAAAAGGGAACGCCAGGGAGCATGTTTCACGCTTTCTTGATGCCCTTGGAGCTCACCGAGAGGACCGAAACCTCCGCATGAGGGAATTCTCCAAATCCCTCACAGATTGAGCATTCTCGTGGTATGCTAACTTGCTGCTGGCTTTATTTCTTCATGGTTAGACTTGGTAAAAAAGTTTTACATCAAGTTCTTCTACGTTGAAGAAAGGTTAACCACCCTTCATCTTATGAGGGAAACACAGCGACTTGGGGAGGACATCCTCGTTTACGTCCGCCGTTTCAGGGAAAAAGTAGTAGACATTCAAGACCCGATGGAAGAGCACCAACTGGTGTCATTGTGCATTGAAGGAATGCTCACGACTTATAAACTCCAGTTGGTTAACCACCACTTCTCTGACTTTTGCGCTTTATGTGCTGCGGCCCAAAACATAAGTGAAACAGTAAGATCAGGGGCACGAATGACAGCACCACAACCCCACTCATGGCGACCAACGGCACCTCAACCTTCCTCATGGAGGCCTAACCGACGCAACCACACTGTATATGCAGCCAAAGGCTCCTCTGGTGGAAAAGAAGACCCGCAGGCAAAAAGGAGAAAGTTCGATCAAATTCCCCGCCATTACCTATCTCAGTGAACGAGGCACAGGCACTCCTCAACGCCTGGGTAGAAGATGGAAAAGTTCACCTCCCCAAGCCAAGGCAACCTATTAACAAAAAGGATCAAGCGCGGGCAGACTATTGCATATACCATCGTTCCGTTAAACATCCCACTACGGAATGTTGGGCACTCAGATCCCTAGTTCGAAAAATGATGTCTGAAGACGCTTTGGAGCTACCTCGCCAAACAGAAGATGTCTTGAAAGATCCTCTCCCGTGCCATAAGGATAATGGCAAGACGGTCATGATGCTTTCGCATTATGACGAGATGGAAGAGCCAATGGTGTGCGAGCTCTCTGAACTCCCAGCTCCCACTTGTCCGGACTTTGAGACCAAACGTGTGATAGCAATTAAGAAATCGACAAAGTTCAAGTGGTTCTTCGACCAATTTGGCCGACAAACAAGTACCATTTCCACATAACCGTCCCCTCTACGTCCCAGTATTCATCAATAGGATGGAGTTTCAAAGAGGATTCATGGATGGAGGAGGTTCACTCAATGTGATGTCTTATTCTACTTTCCAGGCAGCCGGGATCCCACAAAAGCACTTAGTTAGACAACCCATCTCCATCACCAGTTTTGGAAGCCAAAAAATTAAAACCATAGGTCATGTCTAGTTAGACTTAGCAGTGGGACCATTCGCTCTACTACTAAGTTTCATGTTATAGAAGCAGAGACGACCTATCAAGCTCTCCTAGGGAGAAATTGGCTTCACAGATATGCTGCTATTTCGTCCACCTACCATCAATGTGTCAAAGCAATCTACAACAATGAGGTAGTAGCCATAGCTGGCTCTCAAAAGCCTTTTCGAGTAGATGAAGCTCACATGGCAGATGCAGTATTTTACAATCATGTCGATGAAGATGAACCTCCCCTGCCACTTCGAGGAACTCCTATACCTGATTGGGATGACCTCTCTGAAGAAGGTTCATCACCACCTCGTAGAAAGACATTCACCAAATCAGAGCCCTCAAGAAAGCTCCCTAAAGTCACCAGGTTTCAAAAAAAAGATGGCAGAATGATATACCGTTTATGACGGTGCGAGGGATTGGCAAATGTTACCAATGCTGACCCCTAGCTAGACGACGTAGCAATTGTCCATCATGAACTAAGTGGAGAAGATCACTGTTGCTGAACCTTGTCTGCGCTGGCCCAACGCCCGCCAATGGCAAAGAATAAAAAAAGTAGAGACAAGAAGAGCAGAAGGAGAAAAAAAGTTGTGGCTTTTCCAGCAACAGATAAACACTCTGACAAATCCTATTGTTCTGCGGTAACTCATTTGGATGGAGCCGAAGGCTCAAAAGTTAAACCCCTCGCCAAGGCAGCCATTTCATCTCCTAACCAAGTACCCGCCAAGCAAGATGGATTGCAAGAAGTCCGACCTGCTCCAGAGTGTTTACAGGACGGCCCTCGGCCCCAAAAGCAAGAACTGGAAGAAATCAACATAGCTCCTGAAGGAGAACCCAGACGTCCTATCTTCATTTGCAGAGATCTTCCAGCAGAACAAAGGGGGCCGCTCATCAAGTTGATCAGGAAATATTCGGACGTTTTCGCATGGACATATGAAGAAATGCCACGATTTGACAAAGATGTTACCATGCACCGTTTGAACGTCATCCCCCTGGCTCGCCCAGTCAAGCAAGGAGTAAGATTTTATAAGCCCGAGGTGGAGCTCAACATCAAGGACGAAGTGGTGAAGCTGCTTGGAGCAGGGTTTATCAAACCCATCCAACATCCCACCTGGCTTTCTAGTATCGTCCCAGTTATCAAAAAGAATGGTCAAATTCGAGTGTGCGTCGATTTCAGAGATCTAAACAAATCTTGCCCCAAAGATGAGTTCCCACTCCCAAACATAGATACCTTGATTGATTCAGCGGCGGGGCACCATATGTTCTCATTCATGGATGGCTTCAGCGGCTATAACCAGATCAAGATGGCCTTAGAGGATGCCCCAAAGACGGTGTTTCGCATTCCTATAGGTAGCTTTTTCTATACTGTAATGCCTTTTGGATTAAAAAACGTGGAAGCAACATACTAGAGAGCTATGA